TATCCGTGCAACGAACCATCAGGCAAGCAACCAACCATTTGATCATATCGATACAATCCCATGTTCTCGCTCCTGCTCTATTTTACTGCATTAAGACAACGCGATTCAAACTGCTGTGTGCTACGGTAGTTGAACCCATTTCCTCTGCATGACCTATCATTGCCACAGTAACTAGATGAAACCCACTAGCATGTGTAGGAGTTGATTGAGCCATATGTATGTGTTGTTCCTACCTTGCTATGCCTGCTATGCTTAGAGTCGTGTCAGGTCTGGTTCATCTGGGTGATGGACTAGAGTGAAATGATTATGTCGGTAATGAGAGTGGCGTGGTGAACACGATTTGGTAAAGGTATCGATGAGAGGCCATGTAGGAGTACATGGTGGGTTGTTTCATTGAAGCCGACCTTAAGCACTGAGATCTGTATGTGTGATTTAAGAATCAGCTACTACCATGCATTGGGCCCGAAACCAATGGACCCTCTCGACTTCTTATTCACCCTAGTTCTCCGTCCAGGAGTTGCAAGTAGTTTCTGGTGTTTGTAGCCTACTGGAGGCCGTGGACAGCGCTGACCGTAGGGGTGGGCTGTGATGCGGTAGGTACGTGGCACGGTGTACCGAATACCCGTTAGGTATCTCGGGAACCCTGTTCACATCGTTCGGGGCCGTATGGGAAACCTCGGCCGGACTCCCTGCGGATGGAACCTGAATAGGCGATAAACCTGGACTGGAAGCTTAGGTGATTAGGTAGGTCGTGGCTGACACCCACGTTGGGCTTCCGCTTGAAGGTTGCCGAGTACATGTCGTGTAAACGACGATAAGTGGTGAGAGCGTGTATGAAGAAGTACACCCCTGCAGGGTTAACATGATCTATTCGAATAGCCGCGTCCGCGGTAAAGGACTACTTGGTTGCCTATACAGTTCATAGACAAGTAAATGGAAACTATTAAAAGCCTCAAGATAAGTGTGAGTGCCGAGGATGGCTCTTCCGTAGGAAGACGGAGGTGGATCCTCGGTAGTGTATTGAAGTGGTGAGTAGTGGACTCGTGTGCGCAAAACATTTCAAGTTGGAGTATCGTAGGATAGTCTAGCCAAGAGTCAAAGCTGGCTTGCTGCAATAACTCCACCGACCCTTCTTGATACTATGCATGTATGTAGGATCTGATGTAAGTCTTGCTGAGTACCTTTGTACTCATGTTGCTATAATCTACATTTTTACAGAAGACGCTGCAACCCCTTCTGATGGGTTCTATGTAGACGTTGACATCAACGAGTAGGCTAAAGACCCAGGTGGTGACCCTGAGCTTGTGATGGACCACGTAGTATAGTTAGGCTTCCAAGCCTCTTTTATTTTACTAGTTGTCTGTACCCAGACAAGTACTTCCGCTGTTGGCTTGTATGACTGTATGACTTGTATGTTGGGTCATGAGACCCGTACCTGTGTGTATGATATGTATGGCTCCCTGAGCCTTAAATAAAATACTTGTGTCGTAGAGTCATGTTGTGATGCTTCGTTGTATTTGCACATATCGAGCATATTGTGTGTATGATTGAAATGCTTGGTATGTGTGGGATCTGACTATCTAGTTGTTTATCTTTAGTAGCCTCTCTTACCGGGAAATGTCTCCTAGTGTTACCGCTGAGCCATGGTAGCTTGCTACTGCTCTGGAACACTTAGGCTGGCCGGCATGTGTCCTTCTTCGTTCCTGTGTCTGTCCCTTCGGGGAAATGTCACGCTTTGAGTACCGGAGTCCTGTTAGCCCGCTACAGCCCGGTTTACCGGAGTCCTGCTAGCCCAGTGCTACAGCCCGGGCCCACTTGCTGATGACCGACACGTTCGAAGCTGGGTCATGGATGCCTGTCCCTGTAAGTCTGTGCCGCTTTGGGTTTACGACTACTCATGTCAGCCCGGGCTCTTTATCATATGGATGCTAGCGACACTATCATATACGTGAGCCAAAAGGCGCAAACGGTCCCGGGCAAAGGTAAGACGACACCCGTGGGAATACCGTGCGTGAGGCCGCAAAGTGATATGAAGTGTTACCGGCTAGATCGATGTGACATCGAGTCGGGGTCCTGACAGGTCCAAAGTAGCCAAATGGTTGAGAAAGAATATTTATTGTCAATCTAACCCTATCATCCAAACATCTCTTTGGTTAGAGTTAGTTCAGAGTTAGTTTAGGGTTAAAATTTAACTCTAACCTCTAACTGAGTTAGAGTATCCAAACAGGGCTAACATGTGAATTGGTCACCTCCCTTGCACCAATGGAGCGCCACGCGTTCATCCAGCATATGTCTACATGCATACGGTCAGCCACGCCTGGTAAATGAAGTGATTGAAATGGGGGCAATGGACGGGTCAGAGCGACTGGCGTCGTGGGCGCGTACAGTGCAATGTTTGCATGGAATCATACGTTTTTTTCTCTCTCTCTTTTTTGGCAAACGAACCATGATAAACGGAACCAATAAAATGGAATTTTTTTTCTGTTCTGGCTCTTTTGGCGCACGAATCATATCGACAGTGGTATCCCCAATCCATCAGGATTCAAATCCTGGTGCACGCATTATTCCTGGATTTATTTCAGGATTTTCGGCGATGCGCTTTCAGTGGGAGGAGACGTTCCCGTCGACGACGAGGCGCCTACGGTGACTTCGTAAATCTTAAGATGATATGCCGGCTCAGTCTCTCGGAGGTGCTCATAGGGGTAGGGTGTGCGTGTGGGTGTTCATAGGGATGAGTGTATGCGCGTGTATATGAGCGCTTGTGTCTGTACTGATGCTGAAAAAAACGCCCAACGGACACGAGAAACAAAACGGAAACGCTACGCGTAGCTGGAACGAGTCATCTTTTTTTTTTTTTGCGGGAATGGAACGAGTCATCTTTTCTGGTACTGTACAACCTAATCCCGTTCATTTGGAGTATCTAAACGTGCGGTTGCACAATAAGACGGGAAAAGAAAGAAAACAAGAAGAGAGTGAGTTACCCAGCGCCTCACGTCACTCGGTTGATGCTTGGTCGTTGCAGGCAGGCAGGCAGGCAGCGGCTAAATCGTCGCGGTCGGCCTTTTGCCTCCGTCCGTCCGTCGGTGGACCGTCGACACCCCAACCACACATACGATTACGACCCAACCAAATGCCATTCCCAAGCAAACCATTAATGTTGTTTTCCCTGAACTGACTGCTGACTGACCGATGACACCTTAACAGAAAACGGCCTTCTTTTTCTCCGGCCAAAGCTTCCTTCCTTCCTTCCTTCACAGCCCAAAACGAAACCACCGACTGACCGCTCGTAGCTATCCGATGCCAGCATTAGCACACTACTAATTTGTTGTCCGTGTTAGGTGGTCAGGTCAGGTTCGTCGGAAGGGAAGGGAAGGGAAGGGATGGGATCGGATGGATGAGGGTTGCCCGGGACCAGAAATGATGAACTGCCTCCGAAAACAACATCTAACCGGAAATATCTCGTGCCGGGCAAACCGCGCACACCCATCAATCCATCAATCAACCAACGTACGTATATATGTGCATGCACGCCCGCCTATAATAATTTCCAGGCCTTGCGACTGACTGGTAACCAACCAACCAACCAGCAGCAGCAGCAGCAAACAAACCAACAAATTAACAAACCATCAGGCTGACGTCGCCAACGGAACAAACCGACACACCAGATCGTGGTACAGATATACTACTGGCCACTGCTTCGGGGTACATACAAATATAGATGGTGGATACAAACGGAATTGTATATGTATATAGACACGACACAGGCAACGGCAGGCGTGGCTTTCAGCTGAATTCATCCAAGGCATACTGTAAGAAATAAATGTCTGTTGTGCCTCTGTGCTAGAGTTCAGATACTCCTATATGGTTTGATGGAAATGGAATTACATCAAGTTCATTTGGTCGTTGAGTATTTTTCTTTTCTTCTGCTGTTGAGTTTGTTTGCTGCTGCTGTTGATAATTCCAGAAGAGGGAGGTGGAGCTAGGTGGGAAGAGTGGCGGGCGTGGACACGGTTTGAAAACCAGAAATCAACTGCAACTTGACTAGTTTTAGCACAGCAGCAGGTGCAGTCAGAGACAGCTTACTTGTTCCTCCGTCTTTCTGGGACAATAATGCAAGTGGTCAGTCAGTCATGTGAGTTGTGTCGCCCGTCTTGATAACTTCACTTTGCGTTGCGTTGTTTTTTTTGTTAAGCTAGCTAGCTGCCGTTTCAAAGCTCCCTTTCCGCCATTCCCATTCCCGCACGCCCTCCCGTCCATCAATCGCCCACATGTCCAAATTATGTCAATCCTCAGTAAATAAACTTGAAAGGATGAGAGAGGAGGTCAGTGAGGTGCGGGAGGTGCGCAACAGGCAGGCAGTTAGCTGTCGCTCGCCCATTCTCCACTGCCGATCCCTCCCACCATAATTCCGTTTCGTCCTTCTCCCTCTGCTCCCCAAACCAGACACTCCAACCACAAGACAGCCAACGCAAAACAGAAATGTGCACCTACTCCTAGCACCAAAACGAAACGACTATGTAGAGTAGTTAGTACGTAGTAAAAACTGAAGAAGCAGATGTGATCGATCCAGGAACTTGGCCTCTCATTTATTTTTTCCCATCTCGTTTCATTTCTTCTTTTCCCTTTCTCTATACAAAAAGAACTCTCGAGCAAGCAACATGTTTGCTATGCCCTGCCCTGCTCTGCCTAGTTTATTTGCCACGCTAGCGACGAAGTTTTCTTCGTCTCGTCGTCTCTGAAGAAGGAACTACCATGAACATGAATCGACCTTCGGTGGAACTTCGAGCAAGGAAGCAAAGGAAAAAAAAAACTAATCCAGACATGCAACTAGGGAATTATTGTTGGGCAAGAAGATCTAAACAGGCCGCCGAGCTTCGCATCTTCTTCTCCTCTTCACTTGCCGACTCTGCCTTCCGTTTGTTTCCTCGCGTTGATTAATTCATTGGCTTTTGAGTGGAGCCGACAGACTGATCTTCGTTTGTTCTCGACTTGCTTGCGTGCTACTCGATCTTGGCCATGCTCATCATGCGCTTGGCGGCGTGGACGCCGTCGGCGGGCGACCGGGGGTCGAAGCCGGACATGTAGTTCCGGACCTCGATCCGGATCATCTCCTGCATCATCGACAGGAACTCCCCGTTGAAGGGCGCCGGCGTCCGTGGCTGGGGCTGCGGCGGCGGCTGGAGCTGGAACGGCATGGGCGGCGGCGGCGGCATCTGAGGCGCTGCGGCGGGCTGTACAGGAGCAGGTGGCGGCGGCATGGACATAGGCTGCGCCACCGGGGCTGGCTCGGGCGCATCCAGGCCGGGCAGGGAGAGGGAGAGCGAGAGCGACGTCGCCGGAGGAGGAGGGGGCGGCGGCGGAGACGGAGGCGACGGCTGCGGCGGCTGAGGCGTCGCCGTTGGGAGCACGACCACCCCGCCGGCACGCGCCACCGGGCGGTACACGTGCGGCTGCTGCGAGGCGGCGGATGGCATGACGGAGGGGAGGCTCTGGTGGCTGGAGTCGCTGAGGTCCGACCCTGACGGGCTCCCGGGGCTGAAGCACAGCCCCGGGTATCCGTCGCTGCTGGTCCGCTTCAGCGGCCGTCGGTCCTCGTCGTCGGCCATGGCGGCCCCGTCTTCAGCAGGCGATGCCGATGCCGAGGAGGAAGAAGAGTACTTGCGCTTTAGCGTGGAGTTCCAGTGGTTCTTGATGGCGTTGTCGGTGCGGCCGGAGAGCAGCCTGGCGATGGTGGCCCACTTGTTGCCGAACCTGGCGTGGGCGCGGAGGATGGTGTCGTCCTCGTCGGGGGTGAAGGGGCGGTGCTCCACCTGCGGCGAGAGCTGGTTGCACCAGCGGAGACGGCAGGACTTGCCGGAGCGGCCCGGGATGGACTTGCTGATGAGGGACCAGTTGCGCGCGCCGTGGCGGCCCACGAGCCGCTGCAGCGCGTCGTCCTCCTCGGGGCTCCAGGGGCCCTTGATCCGGTCCACGTCCTTGCCGCCCCCTCCTCCTCTGCACGCCGCCATGGCCGCCGGGAGATCGATCGTAACCGCTGCGAGTGGTGAGTGAGTAACTCGGGAGGGAGGTTACCGAAATGAAATGGCAATAAAACCAAGTTGGATCTGGTAATCTGCTCGGTGGTGGTGGGATGAAGCGGGGGAAGGAGAGACAGGGGAAGAGTGAGGGGGAGCGGAGGGGGCAGGGGCGGGATATATACCAGAGACGGGAGGCCGGGGTGACCGGGTGTCGCCGGTTGTAACGGGTTCCAGCCCAGCAAGCGAAGGGGACGGGGCGGTTGATGGTATTGTGGCGTGGGTACAGCTGGCCCCGGGACACGCGGCGTCTCTCCAACTGAAATCCAAATGACTCTCCTGCTCCTACGTGTGGATGTGGTATGGACGGATGGATAGGGATGGGGAAGGAGGCAACCTAATAATATCTCTCAGCTATCGCTTCCAACGGAAATGACCACTCTCGTGTGAAATACTCCTTTCATTCCATAATATAGTGCTTTCTCTATTCACGTATTTCAACTTTGACCGTAAATTTAACTATCAAAACCAATTGCGGTGGGAGCAAAAATTATATCAGTGAATTCGTATTCGAAAGAAGTTTTCAATTATATAATTTTTTCTCCCACCGCAGTTGGTCTAGTTGGTTAAATTTACGGTCAAAGTTGGACCTCGGGAAGCGCGGGCGCACTATATTTTAGAATGGAGGGAGTACCTGACTATTCGGTTTTTAATTGGTAGAAATGCATGCACGACGAACGTGAATATTGTTTCGCCCAGCTGATAATTGAAATTTTCATCAATTTACCTTTGATGATCGTAACCCGTGTCTCATTCGTATCATAAAGGTCAAAATACAAGTTACATAAAGGCTGACATGACAAAATCGAAAAGACAACATAACGTCTCTTGGCTTGACATCAATGATGTCACCTGTCTCCAGCAGCACCACAACGACCATCAAAGGGAAAAAACGATGGATCACCTCCTCAGTCAAACTCGACGCTGCTCCATCACCGATATGCAGCTTTGCGGACCTTCAAGGTGGCTCACCAAAGGTGAAGTCATTGCCATTTAAAGAATCAACCGAGGCCACACCCCGGACACACCAGCGAACTCCAGATCTGGCATCCCATCACGACTAAGACGTCGAAGAAGGAAACCATACCTGCCATCCATCAACAACGAACTCCGCACACGTTTTTTCTTACAGGTGTTAACAATGTAGACCACAATATGCATCCGCTCCAAAACTACCTCACACGCTCCACGTCGACGCTGCAGCAGACGCCGTCGCAACGGCGATGCCCGAGGACACAAGTCCATCACAAGATGCCGCCACCGCCACGACATCCCCGGTTGAACGGACTGGTTCCTAAATCCATCACCGACCATAGAGACAAATCGCCTTGCCGGAAAAGAATCCGGAGCTTCTTTATTCAGCATCGTCGTTGTTGTCGCCAAAGCCAATGCGTCGAACGATCGAAAAACCTAAGCTACAAGGGCCCTGAAACCTAAGGCTAAAACAATCCGCATGCGCGGGATCCAACAACCTCCTCACTACCGACGACCAAAAGGTCGCCGGCGGAGGGGAGCCGCCGGAAGACGGCGCCTGAAAAGGTGGGCTCTCTTGGCGGTGACGACTAGGGTTCGTGTGGCTGGAAGGCCCACATTAGCTCCATCAATTTACTTTTATATTTTTTGGTCTCCGGAGACGGGTCGACAACGTAACCGTTTTCGTCCATGTGCATGCGTACACGCGTGTGGCGCACGTTCCACGCGAGAATATGTGTTGTTTTTCCGTACCACCACTTAACTTGATTATGCATCTCTAGGCAGTGGTAATTCAGATACTATGCCAGATTTCCTACAGTAACGTGTGAGGCACAGGAGGAGCTCATTCCTATTTCGCTTTCTTTCTCTCTTGTGGATTTGGAACGTGATGAGAAATAGAGCAAGGAAAAGGGAATTGGTGTTGGATTGGTGCGATGCGATGCGATGCTGGTGAGTCGTCGTGGCCGTTGGGAGTTGAGGAGGCATCGTCGCGGGATTGGGATTGGTGGCCCACTCCAGTCTCCAGTGCAGTGCGCACGGCACGGGAACCAACTGCTCCGAAACAAACCCGGTCGACTCGACTTAAAACCGGGTGCATGGACGTGGTAGAGTGTCCGTCGTTGTGACGGATGCAACGCCGTGCTCCGAAAACAGTTTTGATCACGTCCGCCCGCCCGCCCTCTGTTTTGTTTGCATCGAAAATGGATGTGTACCACCACCCGTTGCCGTTGCCGTTGCCGGTCAGTGGTGGGCTTGCGTCCAATCTGCATGCGGTTGGTTGGTTGCCGCCTGCGCGTGTCCCCGTCCGAGGGATCGGGACGTCTCCTCCTCCGGCGATCCGACCGCTCTTCCTCCGTTTCCTTTCCTTTCCTTTCGTCTCGTTTGCGTTACACCTCTACCGGCCGGAGGGAGGTCTATTTATCTGCGGGACCAACTACCAGGACGGCACGCCGCAACCAACAACAAATTAAAGCACGGCATCATCGTTCCACGGGACGCAAACGAAACTACTCTACGGACGACTCTGCATGCACGATATTTGGACGATGGCTTTCTTGAACAGTGCAGATTTGTTAAACTAAACTATCCAACGGATGTTGTTGCCATCGTCCACAAATCGTGCACAAAGGTATCGTCTGTGTAGCACTGCTCGGACGCAAACTAACTTCATTCCTCGTCTTCTCTCCTCCGGGTCGGTGACGGGTCTCACGTCTCAGCTATAGCCTATAGCGCCTGTGCTTGCTTCCTTCTGCATCACACACAGGCTCGGGATGCGCCGATTAAAACTAACAAACAAACGCCCGGCCGACGGAGTGTAGGGCGGGATAGCTGCGTCAACCAACTTGTCCGCCCGTCCCGATCCTATTCCAAACATCTGAAAGCCCAGCCTGCACCAACCGTGCCGCGCAATAACCATCTCCGATTCCACATCTTAATCTTAAGCCTAACAAACAGCTCTACTATTAAGGTGACACACAAGCTTTGCACTTTTGGCGGCTAGCCGAAGACGAAGCCAAAGCCAAAGCGCGTCAAATCCAGACCCCCCCCCCCCTATCAAATCTTAATAATCAAACAAGTAGGAGCGCCATCATATTTTTTTGTCTCTCTGCGTTTTGTTCCTCATGGACCATGG